ATTTAAACTAACTAAATTCTTTATTTAAAAAATTATTCAAATATTTTAGATCGTAAGTAATTTATTATATTTATATGATATTTATATATAATTTAAACTAACTGAATTTTTTATTTCAAATATTTTCTTTAGTTACTAGTAAGTTATTTATTTAATTCTATTATATTTATATAATATTTGCGTATAATTAAAAATAACTAAATTCTTTATTTTAAAAATTATTAGAGGGTAAGTAATTTATTTAATTATATAATTAATTAATCAAAATTTGAAATCTAACTTAGCAGTTAATTTGCAGAAATAGAAAACCCACAAAATAAANTTAATTCTATTATATTTATATAATATTTGCGTATAATTAAAAATAACTAAATTCTTTATTTTAAAAATTATTAGAGGGTAAGTAATTTATTTAATTATATAATTAATTAATCAAAATTTGAAATCTAACTTAGCAGTTAATTTGCAGAAATAGAAAACCCACAAAATAAAAAGCAAGACTTTTCTAGAAATTTATCTGAACGGTTAAAACAAACCAGTCAGTTAAATCAAGAAAAAAATAATCCGCAAGAACAATTGGCTCAATCAGAAGTTGATATTCAAGAATTGAAATTTCAACAAGGTCAATATAAAAGTCACCAATTAACACAATCTCAAATTAATAAGAAGAAAATAGAAGATGAAAATATAAGTCATTTTCAAGTTTCTCAAAATGAAATAGAAGAAATGATTTTAACACGTCAAAATCAATTGGAACAAAATTATCAAGATTTGAGATTTAACTCAACTGCACAAATTAGAGAATTTGCGGAAAAAGAAAATACTTTCAGGACCCTAATTACTTGTTTGCAAAATGAAAAGCAAGGCTTTTCTAGCAATTTATCTGAATGGTTAAAACAAACCAGTCAGTTAAATCGAGGAAAAAATAATCTGCAAGATCAATTAAAAGCTGATATTAAAGCATTAACATTTCAACAAATTCAATTCCGAATTAATTATAAGAAAACGGAAGAAAATTTTATTAAGCTAGAGAAGTTTGCTGAAACTAATTATCAATTTTCTCAAAATGAATTAAAAGAAACGATTTTAGCATATAAATCGGAATTAGTTAATTTACAACTACAAAATTTTCAATTGGAACAAAATTATCAAGATTTGAGATTTAACTCAACTGCACAAATTAGAGAATTTGCGGAAAAAGAAAATACTTTACAGTCTCTAATTACTTGTTTGCAAAATGAAAAACAAGCTTTAATTGAACAAAAAGAGCAATTAGAAAATCAATTAAATCAATTTCGAATTAATTATGAACAAATAGAACAAGAAAAAATTGAGTTGCACGATATGGTAAAAGGTCTCTCACAAAATCAAAAGCTTACTATTAAATTAAAGGCCAAGTTGGAAAAAAAAATTGTTCAATTGGAAGAAAAGATTGTTCAATTGGAACAAAAATTGATCAATGAAGAACAAATCAAAATAATCCTTACTTACACGTAAAATTATCAAATATTATACTTATTCCTTTTTTTAGCTAGTTAATATTCAGTTAAAATTTTATTTGATTACATAACCAAATCTTGAAAATGACTTGTTAATTTATATATTATTGTATAATTAAATAAATAAATTATTTTTCATACTTTTTTTTTAGAGAAATCAATACAGAAAAAGGAAAAAGTTTTAAGCTATAGTCAAGAATATCCAACGGAAATAGCCAGTTGAGAACTACACAGTGAAATTCGATAAACCGGATCTATCGGTTCCACTAAAAATATCCGGTTTAGAGAAAAAATTTCGATATATTGAAAATCTATTATATTGAATTTTTAAAAAATTTTCATGCTAATAAAACTAATATACACTATAATTTGATTTTTTCATCTAGTTTTAAGTTATAGAGGTCATGAAAATGAATATAAAATATTTTAATTGAATATATAAGTAATACTTAACTTCAGCTGTAATTAAGATTTTTATAATTCCGGCCAAATTTAAGATTTACCGAATCACGTTACTTAAATTTTATTGGTTCCCAGTCACGTGATCCGGTTTATCGAATCATTTTTACTATAGCTGGTTAGAAAATTGATCCGTTATAGCAAATATCGAGCTTTTACTAGTAAACTCCGTTATATCGAGCCTATTTTAATATACGTGATTTGGTTCCAGCAAAAAAGTCCGGTTTAGGCCCAAATCCGGTTTATCAAATATCCGGTTTATCGAATTTCACTGTGTACATATTAGCACATGCATTACTTTGTGGTATTGTTTTAAATTATAAAAATAGTAAAACGAGAAACCAAAAACTCTCAACATCATACAAATCCCAAAAACCATGAAATATACCTGCCAAGATTTCGGGTATTATTTTTTATGATTGTTGCGCCGGATTTTTCAAAAATGTTACTGCAGCTGCAGCTGTATGTGCATTGAAGGTAACGATTTCTATTCTTTTAATATGCGTTTATTGAATAATAGTATATTACCAAAGTTCGTTCACTTTAAGAAATAATTATCTTAGTAATAACTTGTTTAGTAGATAATATTTATCGTCTAAATAAACTTAAGTGATTAAAGAAGTCATCACTATCTTTGTCAATTAGAATTATCAACAACTTCAATATAAACAATTGCGAATCAAAAATTAACATTCTTTTATGATTTTTTATCAATTCAAGAATTCAAGCTTCTCAAAAATAATTTTAAAATCATTTTTTTTGATAATTTTATGATGAATTTTTTTTTTGGAAATCTTCTCATCATTTTAAAAATATTAATATCCGTGATGTTAAGTTTATGTAAACTTTATTATTTTTTTTTAACCATGGTTTGAAAATGTTAATAAATAACCAAATAGACTACATGATGGAACCATTAATAATTAAATTACATATAATGATTATTGTGGTTGTACCATAAAAAATTCAATGATGTCCATGAAATAACCATTATGTACAGTATCTTACTACACTATTTGTTAAAATTATGTTTAATATTGAGTTTTTTTATTAGAATCTGTTTGAGTTCTATGAATTCATTAGAATCCCATTCATTATCATCAATTAATTCTTTAATTTTTTTTCTAGTCATATCAACATTGGCATAATAATATCTAAAAATAAATTTATTTGGTTAATAAATATTTTGTAATTATTAAACTTAATAATAAAAAAAAAAATTTTTTTTTTTTACATACATTACTTCAGGAAACCATGAATTCCAACGTCTCTGATGTGGTAACAAATAAAATAACTCAATTTCAGCCAGAATCTAAAAAGAAAAATTTTAAAATTTTAGTAATTTATATAATAATTGAATAATCATTATAAATAATAATAGGTAGATTACTTGTAATCATATTAATATACCGCACCTCTGCTTTTTGCATTAAATATGAGACTCTATCATTATCTTTTTCAATTGCATTATTAAGTAATCCAATAAATAAATTCATAAGGTATACAACAATCAATAATGAGAATAAAACAATTAATATTGCAAGTGATGGATTATCAGTATACGACCAATTGGATAATGCACTTGAATCACCTAGCAATAAATTAGGAAATTTAAATACCGATAATAATAACATCACCAAAAAAATAATATCATACATATCCTTTGCATTACCTGTTAAGGATAGATACATTGCAAAAAGAGAAGTTCTAAAATCATTAAACATGTTAGTATTTCCATTAGGTTGTTGTATTAAAAATTGATGAGAATCAATGGTTCCATTTTTAAATATTTGATAATAAGAAGAGACTATATTCCAAGGATTATTAGGATCATTATTATTTGTAAGTTCATCAAAAGAAAATATAGATCTTGGTGTTAATAAAATATAAAATGCATGTGCAAAACTTATTATAATAATTAACAAAACAACTAAAAAAGAAACAATTTGTTTTGCAACACTGATAATTATTGCAAAATATATACCAAAATATTCTATTGCTCTAAAAAATAACAAAAATTTTATATCTAAAAATAAGCATGAAAAGGAAAGTAATGGAATTAAATTTGTTTCATTTGTTTGAAGCCAACGAATAGAAGTATAAATTGGGAGCACATATGCAATTACATCTATAATAATAATAAAATAAAATAAAATAATTAATAATATGATACTTTTTATTTATTAAAATGATTAAATAAAATATTATATATACCAAATAAGTTCCAAAAATCATGAGCCCATTTAATTGGATTATAAATAAATTGACGTACTTCAAAACTAAGATGAATAAATCCAAGTATGATTGAAGCAATTAGAAGTTGATTTTGAATTTCTTCATTGATATATTGTTGAGGAATTGTTGCAGCAGCCGTAAAACATCCAAGTAAAGCTATAAATCCAATCCAAATCACTGCATAATAATACTTTCCATAGGTATCCCATTTAAAATTAATTAATGCTTCTCCATTCCATGTTTTGTAAATATCTCTATTTATTGTTTTAACAAATGGACTAGATTTAGGTTTAATCAATTCCAAAAACCAATTATATTTTTGTGGATAGTTAACAAATTTAATATAAGGATTCATAAAAATAATTGTTGGTGTTGTAATTGTTGATCTTGGAAATATTTTATAATAAACATTAACAAAGTAACTAGGAATTAAATAAAAATAAGAAAGCATATCACTTACATAAATATTATTAATAAGATGGTATTTTAATAATATATAATATGTAGTAAAATAAATAGGTGAAAGGGGTAGAATTATTAAAAATTGAATAATATTTAGTACTATATATATCATGAATGTATATATATTCCTATCATGTAATTTTCTCATAAATATATTATATCTTGCCCACAAAATAGTTTGAGTTATATTAACCATTTGGGGATATTGAAAAGAACTTAGATGTAAATTGTTATTTTTATGTACTGTACTATAAAAGGGTGTATCTATAATCATTGTAGTTTCTAATGAATATCTTAAAATATATTCTGGATAATATTCATTCAATAATGACATTGTAGAAGTGATAATACTTAAAGACATATTATTGTTTCCTAAATCTTCTTTAAAATAATTAATACATTTTTTATAGATATCATCTATTAATTCCAAGTTATTTTCTTTAATTGCAAATTTTAATAATCCAACACCATACATTAAAAATGTTTCCTTATCATTAAGTGGTTTAGAAAGAGTATTATCTATTAGGTCCATTAATTCATCACCATATTTTTTATTCCTATCATCTTTACCAGGAACAATGTTTTGATATAGGTCCTCATTAATCTCAAAATACCAATTTTCAACAATTTCATCAGAATTATTAACATTATTTAATTCATTAGAATTTTTGATTAAAAAACTAATATTTAATTCCATTTTTTCCAAGTTAATCTTCCAAACATCTCCATCCAAAATTCCAAACGCGTATTTGCTCGTAGTTCGAATAGTATTAGGAAGATAAAAATGTTTTTTTGGTAAATGATCCATCATGGAATTCAAAAATCCTTTTCTTGGAATATTACTCAATAAAGAAAATAGTAAAGGACGTAATAAAGAATATAAAACAGGATGCTTTATAAGCATATGTAATTGGATAACTAAAAAAAAAAATATTATTATTAATTAAATGCAATAGTAGTTGTAAGATATAAATTTAAAGATATACAATACCATTATTTATATCAAAAGAAGCAATTGATACTTCTAATTCAATCGAATAAATAATTATTTTATCTATAACTCTTGTACAAATAAATTTCTCATCACTGGAAATTTTGACAAGCTCTGACTTCTATTATAAAATAGACAAATAGTAATTAATTACAAAATACTTCATATAACGAAATATTTGAATGATTAATATTTTATTACCATATATCTCATCTCTTTGTCATTACCAAATATCTTTATACTTTTTTCAGTAACAAGATTCCATTCATAAATGGAATTATTTGAATATAAATAAAGCTTATCATATTTTGATATGCTAATGAATTTAAAATTTCCTGATTTTTTATACATTCTTATGCAATTCCATTGATTACTTTTAGTTTGCGTTGAATAGATAAAAATTGTGCCACGACAATATAAAATAAGTTCATCTTTTAAATTAAAAGTACAATAATCATATGGATTACTGTCATCGTAAATGAGGTCACAATCTAGTTCAATTTTTTGACGATTATTCATCATGTCATATCGGTATATATCTAATAAAATATAATCGAATAGATATTAAATCACGCTAATTAATCTTTTAGTCTGCATAAATTTATAAAAATGCTTACCTATATACCAACTATAAGTATACGCAAATTTCTTATCATCGGAAATACATATTTGGTTTAATCTTTTATCAGAATTGACAGAAAATTCCGATTTAAGTTGACTCCCATCTACATTTTCGACATTCCAACAAATAAGTGATTTATCTCCTTCACTATAAGTAACGAGATATTTTCCTTTTGGTGATATTTCTATTTTCGTAATAGGTTTACCATTATGTCCATTATGTAGTTTTTCAATAATTTCACTATTATGAACGTCACTATCGACTTTATCGTGATAGGTTTCGTCGACTTTTATGAAAATTTCATCCATTTGATAATAAGGAATATATAAGTATATTTTCCTTTAATAATTAACGCTTTGAAAACGTCTATTATCATTTTATTTAAAATAATTTAAAGTAACACGTATTTTTTATCGTGTAGAAACTGTGTAATATTTGGCTTAATGGACGTATAAAAAAAAAACATGCATTTAATAAATTTGGTCATACGAAAAAAAAAATTATTTTTACCCCTTTTATAGACTTTCTATAGCCTATAGTATTTTTATTTTTTTTTCTTTTTTGGAAATCGATAATCAAAGATTTGATAAGATTAAACAATAAATTTATCAGAAATACATATTTTCCGATCCGTCTTATCTTATTGGGTACTTTGACAGAAAATTCTTTATTCTAACAAATGATTGAATGATCATTGTGTTACTGGATACTCTCTATATGGTTATCATTAATGAGTTGTTATCCGATTTTGATATTTGTTTGTTTATAACTGTGGATCATTTGTGTTTATGAAAATAACATTTTTTAACAAAAATTAAGGTTTAAATTGTATCATGACGATCATGCAGGAAAGAAATAGCGAAATAGGGAGTGCTAGTGGGAAAAATATTACAAAAATCAAAAATCACGATGAAAAATAACCGAGTAATGAGTCGCCGCAAGTACGTGATGTTTCACAACATACCATCCACGGGATCACTGATCACATAACGAAAAAAATAGAAAAAACTAACTTTATGGGCAGGATACTGTTAATATTACACAAGATACAACACTATTATCAATTTGTTACGACGAGATACATATCTTTATTTGACCACGGACTATGGTTAATGAATTTGGATGGTATTATGGTATGCTTATTTCCTGCGAGTTGGAACTTACAAGCAATTCTTTAACTATGCTGAAACAATTCTGGATAAAAAAAATTTCAAAATGCCGCTCATAATATTTCAAATAATATAAAGATGTGAATATATGGAACAATGGTAAAGGTTCAGAATTTTTATAAGTATAAGTGACAATTTTCAAGACGTAAATGGAAAAGAAGATTAATTGGATCTTTTTAAGCTGCACATTGCATAAATACCTTAATTATAATTGATGTGTATAGGTTATATTTGTTATTCTATTTAATAGAAGATCAATTTAGGGTTTTAAAAAAGCCATATCGAACGGATGTAATGTGATAAGTGAATCTGTACATTTTAAAAGGCCGAAAAAATTTATTTTTCAGATTATAGTTTCTGATTTTAAAATGCAAAAAAGAGTATTAAAAAATTCTTTTCAAGAACCAACCAAATATATATATATGTATATACATATTGAAAAATATAGATCATTAAATCGTCATTAACTCATTATATTTAGCCTATAAGATTTTATCTAAATACTTCCATTACATTCACTACTTTTACGAAAAAAATTTGGAATCTACATTCTTATAGAGTGAATGATGTTAAATATATAAACAAGTACCAATCTAATCGCTTTGCAATATTCTTATGGAATTAACTCGACAATAAATGTGACTTTAAAAGCTTTAAGTTATTTTAATAGGCTGAAAATAAATGGAAACTCGATAATAGAAGTAATTTTTACATAATGAAAGTATCCTAAATTCTAAAACTATCTTTCGATCGACTTTAATTTATTGACAACGTTAATTTTGAAAGCAAACGTTAGTTAATATACAAAAAATTTTCTAATTTCTACTCGAAAATAAATCTTTTTAGAACTAATTATGAATTACGTAGTAATAGCAATAACAATTTTTCCTTTATAGTTTACACCCATACGTTTTTAAACTCAATTATGATAAATCAAGACTAATTAAATTTTTCTTAGAATTTCAATATTTTTTCTAAGAAAATGTTCTTTAAACTGACTTCTTGTAAAAATATATAGGTTTATTTTCTAGGCCGTAATGTAAAAATTTTTGTTTATCTGAACTTGAATTAATCTGATATTGTATTAAATTATTTTCTTCTAATAAATTACGTTATTTAAAAATTTTTTATCTTATTTTATTTTATTTTTATTCGGTAATATGATGCTAATACTAAAATTAGAAAAAAAAAATATTTTAATTTACGAATCATCCAATGCAACTCTATAAAAAATTTTTATCCGAAAGTTTCCGTGGCTTTCGTAAAATTCCGTGAAAATGATACATACATGATACATTCACGGATATTCGTGTTAAAGAGATGAAAATTTCAATGATTTTAAGACTATAAATGATACATTCACGGAAAAAACATGGAAACGGATCAAACATTTTTACAGGGCAAGCGACGCAGAAATTTAAAAAAATATGTAAGATAAAATTATGCTTGTATTTAATCAGATGTATTGTAGTTTAACCCATAAGTATACTGTATATATTAACTAATTTCCCCTTACTTTTTACAACCGGTTTACAATAATATTGAGCTTAGAATAAAATAATTTACTGTAATATTTTCTTGAAAAATTATATAGACCTACTAATCTATGCTTCCCTTTATGCAAAAAGTACATTAAAATGAAATTGGTTTTGCAAAATTCTCAAAATAAGCTTTCTCATTTCCCCATTTTAAGATGGCCAAGGATTAAATACGGCCAATTTAAATAAACAATAACGTCATCAATTAATTCTATTTACACGTGATAATACCGATCATTTAATCACGTGCCCATTTATTTGTAACACCATTTTTTTTTCGTGAAAAAAAAAAATATATTTCGATCGATCTACTCTCCCTATCTTCAGTCAAGGAAAAGTAAAAGCAAACTCAAAAAGAATTGTCTAAAAAACCTGAATGTGTTTAAAATGTATATGGGTAAAGTATTCAATTATTGATAATTTTATTGTAAATATTTGATTATATCTTTATTGTTATAATAAAGATTATTATTAACTATTATTTAACTAATAAATGGTTATGTATTTTAGAAGAAGCGACCAATGGAAAATTATTAATAGCTGTAGTTGATCTGTCATGTCTTTTAATTTTGGTACTAATAAGTTAAATAAAGTTTGTTTTCATTAAAATAATTAGATAATAGGTTGGCGGGTTGCTTGATTAAGTAAGGTATAATGGATTCTATTATTATATTTACTTTGGTTAGAGATGGATTAGTTGTTGCATTTACTGATTCTATAATATATCGTAATACTGGTAGGTACCAAGTTGTCTTTGAGTGTGCTATATTTTTGAATTATTTTTAACGTAAAAAATTACTTTAAAAATAGAAGCTCGTCAACTCATTGCTGAAACTAAAAGCTAGGAACCATCGAAACCTAGTTAATTGGATATACAGTAAATGCATCTGAAACAATATTCAAGCAAAAAGTATTGGATCATATCAAAGAAGGTCGCTTTAATACGTGTATGTACTGTACATATTAGGATAAATAAATTATAAAACCGCTTATATTTATAATCAGTGATTTTCATATTACTTAGGTCACAAGGAGAATATAAAAAATATATACCAGCCACTATATAGAAAGAGCGTTGTGATCGATTCAATGATGGAGTTATTATTCCGGTACGAATATCAGATCAGTAATTAAGTTTTATTATCGCGTTTGGAATAATAATGTCAAAAACAATAGGCAAGTAAGTGGCATTGTTTTATTAACACTTGTGAAACGTACAAAGCTTTCTTTACTTTCTTCATGATTTTTCATTAAGAAAATTTACAGAATTTTTATAATTGCTTTCAAGCTTGTATTTTATTCATTCAATTGAAATTTTCTCAAATGATTAAAATTATTTTAAAATATTATTTAGAAAATCTTTTAAAAAATTCTCCAGTATAATAAGCTAATAAAAAACAGATTACGGAAATAAGTAACATGATCACTGATGGCTATTTTATTTGATCATTATTTATATAAAAATATCGAAAATTCTACATAGTATAAATTATAAATCCATAAATAATAAATATATATGAAAACAATGAATTCGTACTGGGGTTCGATAAACTAGACTACCGTTTTGAAGTCTTATGGAATAAAATTATGATAAACAATGTAGAACATGAATAATTACTGTATCATAGGATTCTTTTATCTCGATAAAATTAATACAATTGAGATTTTTTTAATCAGAAATTATTTAATATTTGCTATTAATTTTTACGAATTTTTCGTTAAAAGTTATTTATGATCTATAAAAAAAAAAATTTTTTTCTTTCCAATGGTTTGTTACTTCACCAAAATTATACGATCAAATTTTAATTTTTCACAAAAAAATGAAAATTCAATCTATTCACTTAATATGTTTGGAAAGTATATGATTTTTTATTAGTGTTCAAATAGGACCTATACAGGAGTAGGGTACACAGATGCGTCGCCATCATAGTGGAGTTAGACGGAGTAACGTTCATAGTTGGGGCATTTGCAATCCCATTTTAACAAACAGAATAATTTGTAAACAAGAAATCAAATACTATTTTTGGAATTTTTAACAATATATTAATAGTTTATAGTACGGTATTGTATGTATGAAGAACGACTTAAGCTTTTATTATGAAGTATACAGTACAGGCAAAAATACACAGATTAATTTGCAATATCACAACGAAAAATCCAATAACTCATTTCTAAATATTTTTTCCTGATTAAGCTAGATTATGACATATAGGTTACGGTAAGATGAAAAATCTTAGACATTATATGATCTTTGAGACGCTCATGACGAACGAGAAAATTGAAATGGACGCATTATAAAAATTTTGACTATCTGATCAAATTACTTATTTTATTTTTCCAAAATAAGTTTATTTATTAGTAAATTATTACTATTGCTTTAAAAACATTTTATTACCATTAATTTACAATTTATGGAGTTTATTGATATACAGCTAAATATTATAAATTTTTTTTTTTCTAAAAAAAAAATAATAATTTCAAAGAATGATATAATTAAATGTAACTGCCAGAGATTTTTTGTATTAACTGATTTAGGACTTAAAGATATTCCAACTAAAACTATGCTTGATTGTATATGATAACAATTTTAACATATTCTTATTATATAGTTTATTTTATCATGAGATACATCTTGTGTTACTCTGGAAGAAGTGGAGGAAAAAACAAACACTTTATGAAATTTAGGAAATATGGCAAAAACCTGAAATGATACTACAATTCATTAACTTTTAAAAAATAATGAGTAAGGAAATAAGTATTAAAAATATTTGAAAAAAATAATAATAATTTTGTAATAAAAAATTATGGGTGATTTTTTTAAAAAATAATAATTTTAAAATAAGATAATCAAATGTAACATAATGATCTAAAAAAAAATCATATCACTAAAATTAATTGGTATATAATATAAGGTTAAAGTAAAAAAAGTTAAAAATAAGTAAATAATTATTATTACGTTATCCGTTTTATCTATTCAAATGCTCTAACAATAACCTTTAAACACTATTACATTTTTTATTCTCACATATTATTTTATGAAAAAATACAATAAAAAATTTTGCTTTCAAACTTTTTAACTAGTATTTTCTCGCATTTTTTTAATACTTAATATCAATCATGAAAAAATATCACATGTATTACGCAAATAGAAAAAATGGTTACTAAATAACATGCAAATTTCTTTGAATTTGAAAGATCTTCCTTATCTTCCTGCTTAAAGATCTTTCCCGTACTTATTTTCCTATTGAAAGCAATCACTATATTCCGTGCTTTTAATTTCATGTTTTTGTATAATACGCAAGGATAAAGATAAAGCCGAATGATATGTAGATTTTCTCTCGCCGTTCTCGCCGTAATTTTATGTCCAATCTTAAACAAAAATTTTATGAAGCGAATGTTACCAAAGGTATTGGAAACGAGTGTTCCAGAATTTTTTTTAAGGCTGTTGTATCGCGAATAAATTGAAATAATTTGTAATAAGATTAGAGAACGTTCGATAATTCTGTAATTTAATAGCATTGTTTATTAATATTTATTGATTTTTTTTTTTTTGGAAAATAAATTTTATTGAATATTCGAATCTAAACTTTAGCTACTACCCATCGAAATGTTAATTTTTTTTCTTATTATAATAGAACAACATTAAAAAATTTGAATAAATAAATAGTATACTAATTTATTAAATCAATATAGTATGGTATTTATATATTTAATAATTTGAATAAATTTATTAAAATTATTTAAATTACAAACTAAGAATTTTGTACTCTAGTCTTAGTGTTTAAATAATCAATGATAAATAAATAATAAATGATAATACTTTAACATATAAAAAAAAAATATTGTTAATTTGATTTATCAAAAAACAATTTAAAATCCATCTAAAGATAAAAAATTGATTAATTATTTGCAATTTATTTTTTCTACTTTATTTTAAGAGCTTACCATCAGGAATTTCCAGTTCATCTTGTTCTTTTGAATGAAAGTTTGGATTATTATATACTTCGTCATCATCTGTAATAGATAAGTATATAGAATTAAAATGGTATTAAAATTGTTTTTATTACGTGAAATTTTCACCTACCATCGACATATTTTTGAGTTTTTTCTTTTTCGTCATCTAAATTTTAAATAAAAGTCGCGTCTAATAAATTAAATTGATATAGTAACTTCATTTGCATTTGTTAGTAATTTACTTACTATTTGAATTTATTTGCAACTTTTTAAATTCTTCGGGTAATTTTTCACTATCATCTAAAATTAAGATATAAATTTAATATATAAATCAATCTCGATTTGACAATAATTAAAATATATTACCTCTAAAAATAGTAATTACTTTTGATGATTTGCTGCTATTCCGCTCATTTGATTTATTAAAGTCGTTAACTAAAATAAAAATTAATTATTAAACATCATTATATGATAATTAAACGCTATAATGTTGTTAAATACTTACAATCGTTAGGAATGTTAAAATCATACAATTTACTATGAAACACTATTAGCAGTAAAATAAAGTATTTAAAACTAAATTATTATAGTAATAAAAAAATGGTAGAAATTATTATTTATACGGTTATACCTTCTTGTTCTTCTATTATAATAAAAAGATAACATTAATAATGTATTTTAAAATAAATATATTCATTGATAAAATATTATACACTTATACCTTCTGTTGCATTTCTTGGTTCAGGTAGATTTCCAAAGTTGTGAATTTTACTTGTAAATAATCTGCTACTCGTATAATTTTCTTCTACCTTATTCATTTCTAAATTATCCATTTCTGATTTGAATAATTCATCTGACATATTTTGATAATATAAATTAATTTTTTGTATTTTTTTCCAAAATGTATTATAATCAGGTCTTTTTAATGGATCAGCATCCCAACATTCTTTCATTAAATTTTTATATTCTAATGGAGTTCCTGGCACTATTTTTGTTCTTATACCGTTAATAATATTCATTTCAATATCATTTTCATGTTCATAATTTATAAATGGTGTTTGTCCAGATGAAATTTCCCACATAAGAATTGCAATACTATAAATATCAGATGCAAAAGTATATTCTCTTCCAACAATAACTTCGGGTGCTATGTAAGGAAGATTTCCATATATACTTGTTGAATATTTATCAGCAGGTCCACAAAATCCAAGGTCACTAATATACCAATGATCATTTAACTGTGAATATAATATATTTCCGGAATGTAAATCTCTATGTATAGCTTTCTCTTTATGAATATAATAAAGTGAACGAGTTATTACATTAATGATTTTCATTCTATCTTTCCATGTAAGTTGATTATGATTTTGTTGTAAATATTTTCTTAAATCTATATCCATTTTTATCATTACAAGCATATAATTTCCATTTGATGGATTTTGCGTTAAACCAAAACATCGAACAACTTTTGTCCTTTTATTACTTATAGTTAAATGTGATTTAGCCTAAAAGACAATAATTTGTAAAATACTAGTGCTAATACAAAAATTACAACAATTTTATAAAATATGGAATACAATAATACAAACCTCTTCAAACCAACTTTGATTTGCACTTTCAACATTTTCTAATTTTTTTAATATTGCGTCGCAATTTCCAAATCTTGTTAATTGTTTTTTTTCAGAATCCCATTCTTCATAAACTCCATTAATCCAGTCTGCTGTATAGATTTCAGAAAATCCACCTTTTGTTAAATATTTAATATTTTCTAAATTACTATATGGGATCCATTCAACTATTTTACTCGGCATAAGTGATTCCATTTGACATTTCTGTATTAAATTATCAATATCATCATTTCCAGATGTCCAATTTGAAAAATCTTCTTTTAAATAATTTCGAACACAATATTCACAATATAATGTGGCTAAACATTCTTGCTTACAATTTTCACAAATTCTTTTTGTACCATCATTAAACATAACTTTATTTCGATCATAACTTTTAGTCATCCATCTTATTGCATAAGTTTTTTCATCATTTGTAAGAATTTTATCAGCAAGGACTGTTTGTTTTTGAAATTCAAATTGTTTGTGTATATCATTGTAAATTTTAGTATCTGTTAATGATGTTGCTCTATTAACTGTTGCGCCAATTAATTCATATCGAAGAGTGGACATAATGTAATCAATAAGAAAGAGAGAATGAATGAATTATTTTAAGTTTAGTAAAATGCAAATTTGTTGATCAAAATTTCATGTTGTCCCACATAAATTTTGTGACCTTGAGGCGTAATATTTTACGCCTCATAACCAAAAAAAGAAAAATATTACTACCATTTGTATGATCAATAATTTTATTTTTTTTTTTTTCAGTGAATATAAATTGCGTTTAACAAATTGATTGTCATACTTAATGAAGATAAACAAAAATCAATGATTATGACTATTTTTTTGTAGTATCTTACTTAAAAAAATCAAGTCATGGGTTTTCATGTTACACAATCCAAATTATTTATATAAAGACTTATTCTAAATTCTAAACGTCAGACATATTTTTTTTGTTATATAAATGAAGTTTAAAAAAATTTACAAAAATAAAATAACAGATATGATAAAAAAAAATACGAAATATATTAAATTATATTCCAAAAATTGTACTTGGTTTTTTATGTTGTATTATTTTCATTTCTATTATTAAATTAAATCATATTACAATAAATTTAGTAATAAAAGAAAAAAAAAATTCTTTTTACATAGCGTTTAATTTTACTATAATAGGACTGAAGAATATATATATAATATTAGGACCTAATTTTGTAATAAATAGACTTACTATATAATTTTCCAGTAAGTCAAATTAAAAGTGATTTATTGTAAGACTTTTTAATATTCATCTAAAATCTTTTTATTTAATAAAATTCATTTTTTAAAAAATCTTTTTTTAACGAGAAATTTTTTTATAAAGTCTATGGAAATTGTTTAATAAAATCCATTTGAATTTTTAGATATAGATTTTTGTTTGAGAAAACTAATGTGAGAGATTTTTTGAGAAATTTCTGCATCAAGTAATTGATGCATTCAGAAAAATTTACAAAATTAATTTTTTGTTGAAAAAAGGTATTTAATTGAAAAATCTTAAATATTAAATAATTTTTGGTAAAATAGAAATCGACGGAATATGTATAGTTTATGAATCATAAAAATGGAGTTGAAAATTTTTCATGTCAAAAAATTTTAGGACGGAACGTCCATCCGGAATGGTACTCACCACTTAATTATGTGTCCTTTCCTTTGGTCATATCGATTCAAAATCTATGGACATGATGTTGACTATTTTGTATTCTTGATGTCATATAACAAACATTACACTTCGAAGCGGTGTTACGATCCCGTTCATCAGCCGTCACTTGGATAGTTTTAGAGATTGGTATTGTAAGATCTACGCCCGTGATAAATCACGTAGTCTTAACATAAAGATACTTTATTAATAAAATAAAATTACAAGAGGTTAATATGACAATGCTCATAAGATAATTTCTAAAGTATAACCATAATTTCTAATAAATTCTAATAATAGATCCTCTTTCCAAATTTTGTCCTTTTTTATAATTTCTGTCGATCATTATTTTTCACTAAAATATTTTCTAAGTTCATAAAATTATTTCATTTTTAAACTTTTCAATTTTGATTTTTCCACTTTTTGACTTACAAATCTTTTTCCTCACAAAATATCCTTTCAAAAATGTCGTTTTTCACTTTTCGTAAATATTAATTTTCCAAAATTTTCAATTTTCGATCTTCAAATCCTTTTCTTATTATAGAAATATCTCGATTCTAGTTCCCCAATTCTAAATCTAAAAATAAAAGTGAACACAAAAATCGTTACAGATGTTACACTTGTAACATTACACAATTATAATACTAAAAATTTTATACTAATAATTCACTAGGTTCATGGGCTCACGGCATTACAGTAATGCCGGGATCATATTAATTATAAACCACAGCAATTTATTTATTGTAGGTACATAACCTACGAATTTTGAAATGTTTTAAAGTGAAATACGTATAAAAACCTCCTGGGTCATGAGGTTAAATTGATTATATACAAAGTTTAGTGTTGTATATCATTTTAATAATTAAGGGAATAATGGATTTTATTGGTTAACAAAATGGAAATGATGATATAATATTTATCAACTGCGGGATACTTTTATGACGATTGTCAATTTTTTAATGAAGATTATAATTTATCTTATTGGTTATTGTTAATTTAATGATCATAATTTTGGAAGGAATTACGTATGTTGATCACAAATTGATGAAATAATCACGTGGAAAGATGACGATAATGAGTTAGAGAAGAGGACATATAAGTATATAACATGAAGTTTGACCATTTTGGACATAATCTTCGACCTTAAATTTTGGACCTTAAATTATTATATTTTGCACATTCCCTAATATTCGATTCTTTTATACTATTTTCTTATGATGAAAAAGTACATTTCTTAATAATTTATGAATTCTATTTGGTAATTTAACCTAAGTTACTCTTGTGGTTTCACCGGGGCAACAAGTTATTTTATTGATTTTATTCGTGAATTTCATTTTATTTTCATATTTTGGGATGGGAATTTTGGGAATTCGATGAATTTTATAATATTTTATTGATGAAATAATGTTTGAAAATGGGTTTTGGTGAATTTTTATTAAGGGAATAATCTTATTTTTGAAAAACGGAAGGGGAATTATCGTTTTTCAACATTTAATTTTTCTTTGATGAATTTATGATTTTATATTATTTTTAGTTTATTATTTTATTATTTTTATCATGTTTTATTTTATTTTTAGATAATTTATATTTAGGTTGATACTATTATGTATTTCCCCAATAGTGGGAAGATAATCGAGAAAATTAATATTTTATTATATTTAATAAAGGAATATTCACGTAAGACCATCGACCCCAGTCTTACAGCGTCGAAGCGGTGCTACGTTCCGTTCATCCGTCACTTGGATAATCTTTATTCTTTAGTGTATTATTTCAATAAGCAGGAAATTAGCCCTTATTAAGAATAAAAATTTATGCAAGTTGTACAATGGTATTACTTTGTTAATAATTTTTATGAACCAGTTGCACGCATTAGCAATATATCTTACAGTTCCTGTTGCTGCGCCACACAAGAAAGCGAAGAAGAAGCAAGTCTTTGGAAGCGACTTCTTGCAGTATACTTCACCAGTGTTTTATTGCCTGAAGTACTGAATAGTCTATGGCCAATAGGCTTCGTAACTTACTTGCAAAAGGAACCTATACTTTGGAGACATTGTGATAATTATAGAGAAAAAAATTTCTTATCGGGTATTGCATTGGTCACTTTTTATATGAAAGTAATTAAAAAAAAAGGAAAGTAATATTTTTTCATATACTTTTTTTGTAATAGCAATAAATACATAATGAAGTCATGATTTATGCGAAAGTATATTTTTTATATGAAAAAATAATTTTTACTTTTACGCGTTAATGTCGCATAGCTTTGAGACTATTATATAATTTAAATCAGGAATTTCACATTTTGTAATTTTTATTATTTAAAAAAAAAGTTTCTTAATTAAACACATACAACTTATTCAAATTTAAATATGCAAATAATTTTTATATTACGATCGTTTTTGTTAAACAAAGTTAATTATAATTACCGAAAACAACTTCATTAATAATAAACAAAATTTCTCACGAAATGATCCCATTAGAATTTATCAAATTGTTCATTATCACGATATCTTCAAAGGTATTATATGGTATTATACGTAGAAACTTGGAAACCATCTGTTTTAAACTTAAAAATTTTTATTTAGCTTTTCTAAATTCCCATTTAATTAAATTTTTATTTTCACTTGGACCATTTCATTTTAGGATAACTTAATAATGGAAAATATAGCGGGCTTTCCAATTTTATCATATGAATTTTGCCGATCATTTCAATTTTATCACACGATATAAGTACCGTTGTGAGATTTTGTTTTTTGAAAAATTCTATATATTAAAATATTCCTGTCTAGTTGGTAATTTGAACATAATTATTTTTATTAAATCTATTTGTTATTGATCAACTTTTATATGTAATAACTTTTGATTTAACGATTTTATACATTGCAAAAGTCTTGGCGGATTAAAATTTCACATAATAAATATTATTCAAACTTAAGAATTATATTTGATTTAATTTTAAATAATGGAACATATTAAAGTCCCTCATTTTACTTCAAATTTTAATAAAATTTTAGAAACAGATATATCAAATTGTTGTTTGTTAATTTGGAATGGAAAATTATTATGATCCTACAATCATTTGAAAGCGGAGAATGAAAGCTATCCAGTAATTAAAAATTGCATTAGTTGAATTACTGGTTGAAGATTAATTTCGTCTAATACATAAATTTTCTATTTTTTAGCATGATCATTAATATCTCCGCATGACATGATCTTTTAAAATAAAACTAAATTATTTGTTTAATATATATGCATATTAAAAAAAAGAACACTATATCGTCCAATTTATTTTCGATGAGTCATACAGATCGGCAGAATTCTGGTCAATAATAATTCTGGCCAGAATTATGCCGATCATTAATCGACTAATTGGTTTAAAAATTTTACCGCAATAATACTGTAATTGATTGATTTTTTAAAATCATTTTCGAAAAAACTTTAATATTATGAAAATACTTATTATTTTATATTACGTCAATCTTAAATGTATTTGAACAATTAAATGTATTAGAATCTGTTCAATTTCATCTTTTGATACTCATTTTACTCGATAAATTATTATTTAACTAAACCAATTAAGGCGATTTTGGCCAGAATTACAAAAATCCGGGTAATTAAAATTTTTATTCAAGATCTGATTATTTAGAGAATTTTAAATATGGATTTGGTTATAATAATCTATTATTAATTAAATCAACAATTTCTTCAATTATTATATATAAAATATTGTAAAAAATATCAATTTTTTTTTTTGATTTTTATGACAAACTATTTATCCAGTGTTCAATTTAATTGAAAAAATCTTAATCATTTTTCTGCCAATTTTCCTACATTTTTTTTTTAAAAAAAAAAATAATAATTTTGTAAAATATTAATATAATATTAACTAATTTTTTAAAATTACATGTTTATATTGATTTTAAAAAAAAATTTTGTGTAATAATAAAGTTAGTAACTAATTACAAAAAACTAAAGCTGTTATTAATAAAAAATCTTTTGGGACTTCACCTATATATAAGAATTTTTTTGGGTTTCTACTTGGTCTTGATAATAACTTGGGAGATAATTAAATAATCAATAATGATCTATAAATAGAAATAAAAAGGTTATCTTATGATCACTCAGATAAATTAGTTATTGAATTACTAGGCTTTTATCAGAACGCTCATCCACGCTTACTCAGGCATATATACCAGATTTCATCTAGACTCACAAAGAATCCCGACAAATAAATATATTTGGAAAACCTTAGACATATATATACGTGAGCAGACCCATGAACTAAATCGTAAAAAAGCCTTCATTGCAATTAAAGCTTGATTGAACACAATAACTCACCTAATATCAGTAAATTTCTGTTAATATTGTTAAGAATAAGGTGGGTGGTATTAACAGGATTCTACAAGAATAACTAATAATTACATTCTGAACATTATAAAAATGCTTATAAAGGTTCAAAACTACTCCTATTTATAAAAATTTATGAGTCATAATTATTAATATTTATAATAATATGAATAATTACAAATACTAATTTCCATCCTTTCAATAAAATAATAATGAGTCATAGTTATTAATATTTACAATAAGATGAATAATTACAAATCCTGATTACTAATTTTCCATTAACAGAATATTATTCATTATTTTACATTTGGTAAATTAAGTTACCAATTTTTACAATGAAGTAAGTTATTTATAATGAGTTATAATAATTAAATTGTATTATTTCATTTTCACTTGAACACTATGAAATTTGAATATATTTTAACACATTTTCTGTGCTACGATATTTCATATGCCCAAATTCAATTAATATGTGATATAACTTATATAATAATTTACGTAGAGTTTATAAAAATATATTTTTTGGTTAATTTTATAATTTGAATTTGTATAGTTCTAGCCCAAATTACGAAATTCTAAATCATGAGGTTTCAGATAAACAATTTAAAGTATCTTTTACAAACTTTTTGTTATAGATCTAAATCTGGTCAGAATTATAAACTTACTATCAATCACTGTTACTCATGCAATAAACATTTTATTTTAATTAAATTTGTGATCATTGAAATTGCTCTGCTACAAATTTAATAGTGCACAATCAATTAGAAATGATTAATTAATCAAAAATTGAACTTTAATCTTAAATCAATTCTGATATACAGGGGTAGGGTACACAGATGCATCGCCATCATAGTGGAGTAACGTTCATAGTTAGGACATTTATAATCCCATTTTAACAAACAGAATAATGATTGAAAACAAGAATCAAATACTATTTTGGAATTTTAACAATATATTAGTATTTTATAGTACTGTATTGTATGTATGAAGAATGACTTAAGCTGATATCACTTTTTTAATTTATTATGAAATATATAGTATAGGCAAAAATACGCAGATTAATTTATGAAAAATTCAATAGCTCATTTCTAAAAATTTTTTCCTGGTTAACATATAAGTTACGGGGTAAGATGAAAAATCTTAGACATTATATGATCTTTGAGACGCTCAGGATGAACGAGAAAATTGAAATGGACACATTATAAAATTTTGACTATCTGATCAAATTACTTATTTTATTTTTTCTAAAATAAGTTATTTATTACTATTGCTTTAATACATTTTAGTACTATGAACTTACAATTTACTATGGAGTATATAGCTAAATATTGAAAAAAATATAAAAATTTTAAAAAAGATATCAATTTTATTGATTTATTATTATTTTATTATTAATCAAGCATAGTAATAATTTAAAAAAATAAATCACTGAAAATAAATGAATTAAAAATCTATAAAAAAAATAATAATTTCAAAGTAAGATATAATTAAATGTTATATGCCACTGCCAGAGATTTTTTGTATTGCAGTTTATTAAGCTTTAAAAATATTTAAGAAAAATAATAATTTAAGATATAATTAAATGCTGAAAATAATGAGTAAGGAAATAAGTATTAAAAATATTTTAAAAAATTAATAATAAGAAGTAAAAAAATTTTAAAGTAAGATAATCAAATGTAACATGATCTAAAAAAAAATTAAATCACTAAAATTAATAAGTGGTGAGAATTGTTTTATAGGTATATAATATAAGATTAGAAAAAAAAAGTTAAAAATAAGTAAATAATTATTCTAACTAATAGTATGATATTAATTAATTTATATATATATATTCTATTTAATCTTAATATATTTATAATTAGTTAATTTTTCACCAACAGATCTCCATATAATTTGACGAAATCCTACTACCACAATAACAAATCCTATTAACTTGTTAGGATTTGAATTAATTATCTTAATTCGTTTATCACATACTCCCATGGAATCTTTGTTTGCTTGTCCTTTTGCAATTACTTCTATGTATCTTCTTAGCTGCTTCATTCCTTTGTATAATATCTCATTTATAGTTGTTTGTTTATATTTATTAGCTTTTTTATCATAATATTTATATTGTCTTTTTAATAAAATCTCCTCCTCTTCTTTTTCAAGTATTTCATCTAATTCTTTTAATTCATTTGCATTAAAATCTTTTGTTTGTTTTCCATTAATATTGCTCACTAACCCAGTTAGTGGAATATATTTTAATTCTATACTGATATAGCTTTCTCCTAGAACAAAAACATCAAGGAAACCAAATCTACCATTTCCTTTACTCATTGCAGCATTCATTATTAAGCAAAGTTCAGGAACATGATATTTTGATGGCAAAAGAAGTTCTACAGTTACTTGGAGAACTGATTCATTTGCTGAAGTTAATGACATTCGTGACCTTGTTAATAATGTTTCTTTCAGAAGTTCAGTAAACCTGGTGATATTATCTGAAATAAGATCTTCATATGCCAAAGCAATATGAAGAATATCTTCAGCTATTTTTATATGATCATCATTTTGTTTTTGTTTCTTTTTAAGTTCTATTAATATTTGAATGCATAAGTTAGTAAATTGTATAAAAATAAAAAAATAATTGCAATTTAATAATGATAGTAGGTAAACTTACCAATAAATAAATTATCTATATCACTATCATTATTTCTTTTAGTGCTTTTATTAATTTCTTCTTGATTTACTTTAGAAGTTTCAGGATATTCATCTTGCTTTGTCATATAATTTTCATTTTGATTTTGTTTCTTTTTAAGTTCTAATAAATATTCTGTATCATTATTATTTCTTTTATTACAATTTACTTGAGAAGTTTCAGAAAGATCTTTGGTAAGTACTTTAATTGTATCTTTTGAATGTGATTTCTTTTTAGGAACTAAATTCTCTTTTTCATATTCTTTGATTACCCTTTGCCAATATGCTTGTAATTCCTTTTTATATTCTAAACGTTCTATATTAATCTATTAATAAAAAGAAAATATTGTTAGCAGTGTGTAAAATTTATTATTTAGTAGTAAAAGAAGGTACATAGTCAATTCCTCCTCCAGAATTAACAGACTTTTACCAACAACAAAGTTAGGGTGCCTGAATATTGAGCTTGGAGTGGTTACCAAGTGTCTCCAAACAGTAATTCTCAGAAGTCGAAGCACATGGTTGATAAACTCAGTAATCTTGTCATCTTTACATATAGCACATCCAAGACACATACTCAAACTCAGTTAGTAAACTGAAATCATCATTACATGTGGCTTTCCATTATGGCATATGTTCAAACTCAATCAACTAGTCATCTTGCATGTGGCTCGTCTTAAGAGTTACCCTATCTCTGCAAAATAAAAAAAAATACACACCCTTTTTTTTAATGTTTCAATAACTTGTTGATCTACAAAAATCTTTTCTGCTTCTCTTATATAATTACTAGCCCAAGCATTATCCAGATTATACCATTTGAGATCTGAAGTTAATGAATTCATAATAATATCATGGTGTAATTTCAAGAATCCACGATATGATTTATTGCTTTGTTTTTTTAAATAAGAGATGAGAGCTAAAAGCCAAAGAATTAGTTAGTAAAAAGCTAAAATTTACCATAAGTTGAAATATTGTTTAATAAACTTACTATCTTGACCAGGATATACACTCATATTGATTATATTTAATATATCTAAAAAAGTGAAATTGATAACAAATGGTTCAAAAGTAAAATAAATTTAGTATTTAATTTTAGTGTTCAATGATAATTTTCAGAAAATTTATAGAATTTAATTAACTTTAGAGGGTTTTTAAATAAATAAATAATGTTCTTGAATGTAATAATGATTCAGATTGATACATCAATGCAAATTATCATTTGTCAATCTGACACATTATTTATAATGATATAAGTTTACTAAATTAATATCCTATTATACAAATTATTATAATGCTATTAATCTAATTGTTATAAGTATGATATATTGTTGTATTCATACATGGATACAGTTAGCACATATTATGAATTACTTATGCATCATATATGTAATTTTAATGAATTATGAGTCATATGATTCAAAGTTTATCATTTATTATTAATCATATTTAATGTAAGCCATATTTGATGTTTAAAATATATTTTAATTATAATAACTCATTGCCTCTGCTTTGTAATTGTGAGTAATCTTTTTTAATTATAGTCATCCTTGGTAATCATTATTAGTAATACACATTATTTCTGTTATTGATGTGAAATATTATCAATAACATAAACTAGTTTTATAAGTCATAATTATATAACTTTACTAACTTAATATCCTATACAAATCATTATAATGCTATTAATCTAATTGTTATAAGTATTAAATCACAGTTATCTTTGGTAATCATTAGTAATCATTCTTATTCAAAGTTTCTTTTTAATTTTATTTGAAAAATATGAATCTTTTAAGAAACTTTGTGAATAAAAAAATTATGATCTGCAATGTCAACCACTGATAACTAAAAAGTCTTAACTTTATTCATGTTGTTTAGTTTAATATATTTCATGTTTTTTGAGCTTTTGTTTTCATGGTTTTAAACTTTCATAATTTTTTAAAATCACTTTTATATAAAAAGCTTCAGTAAAAAAAAAATAGCAAATTCTTTTTATTTATTCTTTTTTTTTTATAATTTGGAATATTTTTATTAAAAAAAAAATTATTTTAGGTACCATTATGATTTATTTTGTTTAGAAATAAGATGAGGATTGAGTGTGAAGAATTATGGTAGAGACTTTAAGGAAATGTTATAAGAACTTGCTAATATTTCTATTAGAATCCTTGGTTGTCTTGAATTATTGGACTTTGGAAATTTGAAATAAACTATGGAAGGGATGGTGAATAAAAGTATTTAAGGAACATTAAGTAAGACTTTACTAATGTTCCTTTTTTTTTCTTATAGGTCTCAGTTAGTAAAATCCCGTTCACTGGTTTAATTTCACGTGATTTATTTTATTTTTATTTTTATTTTTAATTTCCATGTGAACAAAGTCACGATACAAATTACAGGGACGAACTATACGTAAGCCTAAAGTAATTCTAAATTAAACCGTGAACCAAACTGCCAAATTTGACAGCGCCACCCTGGTGTCGAAAATAATCCCGTGGAGGGAAGTGCTAAGCACATCCCGCCCACCACGCACTAGAGTAAAAATGGCTACGGAAAGTAAAAAATAAACAAAGAAAGAAGAGCGAACAGAAGCTATAATAAAAAGGAAGTTCTAACATATTCAATCTCACGTATGTTCTTTCGTCCGTGGACACCACACGTAAATACTGTCAGGTGTGGAATGATGCATAATGTATAGGTCCGGAATTGTTTCTGTCATATTTCTATTCGTGGGCCGGAGTGGGTTTTAATTTCACGTGATGATCAACATTAACTACCAGTAGAACCGTAAAAGCTCGGGCACGTGACTGTGATGTGACGTCCGAGTTTTGATTGGCTTTTTATAACATTTAAATTAGATTTTTCACGATATTTTTTGTTTCCAATTTTTTTTAATAAAAACGAAGAACTTAATAAATTATAGTAAAGATAGTGTTTTTGTATTTAAAAACAACTTTATTCACGCTTTATTGAAGAAAATCTACACTTTTACACATATTTTACATATTTAATAATATTAAATGTAATAAAATTTTCTACATATAAGAAAAAAATATTCAAACATTAGTCAAATAATAAAACTTATTTAATATCAGAAATACTATCATTATAACATACATAAATGAATCAAGTAACTTTATATTATTGTCAGCAACTTTTTGTCCTACACCAGGATGAGAAATATCCGCTCCAACAATCATCGTCTAAAAAAAAAAGTTTGAAATTAAACTAAAATTAAAAAAATCTTGAAGAGTTTGTAAGTGCTTACAGGAACTTTTCCAATTGTCGAAAGTTCTTTTATAAGATTACAATTATGACCGCCTGATGAGTTGTACAATATTAAACATGTAAATACAGTATAACATAATATATTTACTTAGATGTAATACTTGTTAATTAATTTTTTGTAGCAAAAAGCTGAAAATTACAGTGAATCACAATAAATGGAATTAGATACTTTGATTATATAATGTTAATAACTTTTATATGGGAAGTTAAATGTATGATTCAACCAAAACAAACTATATTATTCTATTAAATAATAGAACATACATGTTGTTCGTGAATCAGAGTTTATAACTTTTATCCGTTAAAAAATGGATATCCGCGGATATTCGGATATCCGGATTGAACGGATACAGAATTCTGAATATTTTAGCGTCTGAACTTACCTGGTGAAATTATTAATTGTGGGGCGCAGCATTATATTTAGTTTAAGTGTAAAAAATTTTAAGTATTTTTTTTTACTGCGGTCCAATGGCCTTAAACTATCTCATCAAATGGGGTTAAGGGATTAAGGTGGTCCGTGTGATGTTAAACTAGTGATTTATTGGTTATGTTATTTTATATTTTCAGGAGTTGTATGAGGATCATTAATGGCGATGGACAGTAGTTGATCATTTTACTATTCTATATTTGGTTCGATATTTTATTTTAGAAACTATTATTTCGATTGATTTTTATTTAAAGATTCCATTTTAGGAAATTATTATTTTAATTGGTTCTTTAACGCTTAAATTAGACGTTTAGAATTTTCTTGGAATTAGATTCAGAATTTGAATATTTCAGTTTATTATTATCTTTAATTTTATTATGAAACTCGGTAATTGTTATAATTGTTATAATTTTTATCGAATTTAATAAAATTTATTTTTGTAGCTTGTGGTGGTAAACGTCTTTATGACGGTACAATATCCGGATTATCCCAATTCCCAACTGATTCTAAATAAACGGATAACACAAAAATTGGATATCCGGATGTACGGATACAAACTCTATCGTATATATATATATCTTATAACAATAATGGGATTTAATAATAAGATTATGTTGCATACCACTAAATCATTTTTCCATACTAAACTACTTCCTATTTGTTAATTCAAAGATAAGTATTTGCAGATGAAGCTAAATATAGTTGCAGCCAATAAACTTTTATATAGTGAAAAATAATTTTATAATAAATGGTATAATGTTTCAAGTTCATGTTGATTTGAATGAAGAAAAGGTAAAGGTAAAAGCAATACAAATTAAAAATGGAAAAATCTCCGGAATCTTTAAAAAAAGAATATGAAGTTTAATTTAATTCTAGTAATAAAGAATAATGTGCATAATACTGCATTATCAGATAAAATGAAATGGTACACTTTTTATGACAATACCGCCCCAATTCTTTTCCGCGGGTAACAACGATCGACTAGCACGACACGATGATCGCGATTTTCTGATTTGTATATATCACTGTGACGCGGCGCACACACCATCAAATTTCAGACGTAGTAGGTACACTATTGCAAAATATTTATGAAGATTAAGAAATTATATTATTCATTTGCTTTTAATAAATGATTCTTGATTGCATATTAAAGTCTTTATTATTTAATATTTAAAATTGGAGCTGCTTAAATTACAGTAGTAATTTGGGCCTCGGTCACCAGATTTAAACTTTTTCCTATTGGCTAACATTTCGTCTTTAACGCACTGATATTTTTTAGATAAATTATTATTTTGATATTTTGACGTATTATGTCATTTAGATTTTTATAGATAAAATACATGAATAAGCTTATAGAATTCATTTATTATTTTTTATATGAAACATGATCTTGGACGTCTGCATAATTGGAGTATGGTGGTTAAAATATCATTCCAGTTCAATAAATAATAGTTATGGGATAGGAAATTGAAATTGCTAAGCAGTTTGGATGATATTTTAACCACCATACCCAATAATTGTGTTATTATGCAGAAGTCCAAAATCATGTTCCATATAAAGGGTATAGTAAACAATAGATATTTTACCTATAAAAATTAATATGTGATCTAAATGACTATAATTTCATAACTTTTTCTATTTTTCTACAGCATATTAACAAATTTTCATAATTTTAGTGGTTATCAAACATGAAACATGATAGAATTTTTGATGTGTATAATGTGAACTCCTTTTTTACAATATTAAGTGCATAATTTTTTAACTTATTCTTCTTAAGTTTTGTTTACATTTAAGATTTAATTTTGCAAATTAAAAAAGAATTTCGTAATTGCTTATTTATTGCCAATCGGGTGCGACCGGATTAATTATGACGAGAATGCCGATCTTAGCCTGACCGGAAATTAATCACTCGCGTTTCATTTAAATTCTTATGTAATAAATTAGGTAAGTGTGTAAATGGCAAATTTTATAGCCGATCACTCATCACCCATTATTCTCTGTGATAATAGCTCCTTGCTCCTCTCCCATATTCCATATTATAACGGAAATTTTGGTATATGATCGACAATCGACAAATTTTTTATAACTTTTTCAATTAGAACTCGAAATGAATTAAATGAAATTTTTTTTAGAATTAATAATAATCTTTGCACAACAGCTTCACGAAAAAAAAAAATATGGGGTGATGTCGAATTTTTAAGCTATATAAAGAGCGTATCTTCAAAGAAAAAAAAATAAAATAAAATAAAAATAAAATCAAAAAATAACAATGGCAATTAATATATTACCGTTCGGATTTTCTGACATACCCTCTCTCTTAATACTTTTTATAATCGGTTATGTATCTCATTTTTATTATCGTTATTTCACTCGTATAAATCCTATACCAGGTCCTATCCCACTTCCAATTGTTGGTAACATTCATCAAAAAATTGGTTATAGTTTAGGTGAATGGTATAAATTATTGCATAAACAATATGGCGACATGTTTGAAGTAAATTATGCAGGACAACGAATAGTCGTATTATGTAGACCAGATCTACTTGAAAATATGAATACAACTTCAACAAAAACTAAATATCCTATTAGATTTAATAATACAGAAGGACTTGTTGAATATGGAGTTAGTGCAGTAGGAGTTGGCCATAATAATGTACCCAAATCTTGGAAATTTAATCGTCAATTTTTTACTCAGGCTATGTTAACACCAAGTTTTAATCATCAAGCTATAGAATGGACATATGAATTATGGAAAGAAATGGAAATTTATTGGAATAAAATTGGTGAAAATCAAGAATTGGATCTTGGAAAATGGATGCATAGATTTACAAATGAAATTATTTTTAATATTGCAACTGGAGTAAAAAATAATTCCGTTGCTGCTTTTTATTATACAGTTGTTGATCCTGAAAGTATTAAGACTTTAGATAAAACTGAACAAGCAAAAATGGAATATTCTGAAGAATTTGTTCAATCAATCGAAACTTATATGAGTGGTGTTGGTTATTTTTTTGTTCTTAATAAGTTTATACGTAATAATGTTCCATTTTTCCGAGAAAAAATAAAGATGTTATTAAAAAATAAGGAAACTCTTTTTAATAGAATAAGAAAAATTATTAAAGAAAGAAGATATGAAATTGAGAATACACCATTAGATCAACCTCTTCGTCATGATATATTAACGTCACATATAACCGCAAATACTCCACGTGATATAAATATTATTAAACATAGTGACGATGTAGATATGTCGAGACCAATGGTAGATAAAGAGATTTTTGGTAATATATTCGAGTCGATTATCGCAGGAACTGATACTGTAAGTAAATTAAAAATTTTAATCTTTTTTTTTTTTTTTTAAAAAAAAAAATAATATCCTATATAAACTCATTTCTTTTTAAATTATAGTCGGCGAGTGTGTTTTGCTTTGTCGTATATTTTCTCGAACATCATCCTGAAGTAAAAAAACGATTACGTCAAGAATTAGATGAAGTTTTTGGAAATGACTCAACAAAACCTATAACATTTAAAGAAATTGAAGAATTACATTATTGCGATGCAGTTATCAAAGAAGTAAATCGGCATAGTCCTGTAGCTTTTATGATCGGTCGCGTAAGTTCTGAAAGTGATAACGTTGGAGGATGTGAATGGCCAAAAGGATCTGTATTTCATATGTATTTTGGCTCAATAATGAAAAATAAAAATTATTGGACAGATCCTGAAAAATTCGATCCTGAAAGATTTTATAAAGTTGAAGAAAGTGATAAAGATAAATATTTACTTGAAAAGAAAAAACTTAAAAATACTTATTCTATGTTTGGAGGTGGAATTAGAATGTGTCCTGGAAGAAAATTGGCAATTATAGAATTAAAATGTTTAATAGCATGTATTTACAGAAGTTATGATGTTGATTTGGTGGATTATGACGCACCAATTAAATATGAATCTGGTTTTATTAACTCTTGTCGTGAATTAAAGGTTAAGATTAAACCAAGGTCATTCTAAATACTGATATATAGATGTATATATATTTATTTATTTATTTATCTATGTTTATTTACAATTATTTTTTTACTTGTATCTGCTGTTTCTTTTTGAACCTTATTAAAAGAATTTATACTTAAATTTTATTTTATACTTAAATTGTATTAAGAAATGGCAAAAATTAAGTATAATTTAGTTATAATTTAAGTTTACATTATTTATAATTTGAATATAATTTTTTATTTTCGGTATATTTTAAGTAAATCCCGACAGCCATAAGACCGATAAACACGATCAAATCAAAAACCTATTCACATGAACCTTTTTTTAATAATTATTAAATTTTAAATATAATTTAGGTGATACAGAAGGAAAATATTATTTACTGGTCAGCGAAAATGGTACACCTGAAATTCCTGATGGTCACGGAATCCTGATGGTCTAAAATCTTGACAATCAAAACCTTGACTGAAATTCTGTTAATTTTCAATGCTATTGTTTCTAATTTAGAAGATAATTTCAGTCTCGTACTATGACAAACATCCTTTTTTTCAAATAATATTGATTTTTTATAAAAATGATTTTTTTATTAAGCAAAAAAAAATTTGGTTCATTAATTAAATTTTAAAAAAATGATTTTTATTAAAAAACTGGAATTTTATTAATAAAAAAAAAACGAATTTTTTTATTTCGTAGCGGGCTTTCGTATTATCACAGTGTAGATCACTTTGCCGATCACTTTTTTTTCATTAAAAAAAAAAAAATAATAATTTAACGAAGTGATATGTAAAAAATAAATTGCAAAATCTAAATTAGACGTGTAATTTTGTATTATGTATTTATCTAACTCAAGTGTGCCGCATCTTTATTAAATTCGTGGTATCTTTACTATTTTAATTTGATAGCGCCACAAAGCAAAAATCAAACTCTTTTTAGACGCTTTACAAAATAATTTTTGTTAAAGTTTCTCATAAAATAGTTGTCCGGAGCGAATCGAAGGACAATATATGTCTACGCACTATGAAAAAAAATCGATCACGTAATTTCTCTGTCCGCCACGTGATCGTCACCCAATAAAATCGCAAATTTTAGTTTTTCGCTCCGGACTTACAACGGTTCCCGTTTCCTAGTAATATTATACTTTATGATTATTTTTATTTTTATTTATTGTCCGGAGCGTAACGAAGGCTAACAATTTTGGATTAACCCATGAAATTTTCCTTCTGTCCATCCGCTGACGTCACCTCACTAATTACCCCTGCTTTTGCCTTCTACTTATGATTTTCTTATTTTATTTGGTTACGTATTTTTTATGCAAACAATTTTTTTTTTAATAAAAAAAGATGCCGGGTAAATAAGCGCGACGGACTTTAACGGTTTCCGTTTCATTGTTCTTATTTAATGCAGCTACTTTTTATTATTTTTTAGAGGTTTACTTCCGTAACAGCCTATTGATAAAGTAACAAGTTAAATGTTTTGACCAAATATTTTATATTTTTACAGAATAAAAGAATTAGTTTTTCAATACAGGATTTTGGGGGTTTTCTTCTTTTTATAATAAGATAATCATGTATTTTTTCCTAAAAAAATTTCCTAATTCTCGGGAGTTTTACATAATCCTAAATTACCCCTGAGAATCACCCTTTTGGGATCAAAACTGTGGGTTGTACGTAAAAATTCAGTAAATAAAAATACAATTTTTTTAATTTTATATGCTTTAAATTATCAATAATTCAATCATATCAATGGTTATTATTATTTATAGTTTTCATGGTTTTTTTTTTTTAAAAAAAAAGTACTGCCAACATGCTGCCACTCCACTTATTAAAACATGTTTAATTTGAAAATAAAAGGCCATAGTTTTCATTCCAGAAAGGGTTATTTTCAGGGGTAAATTTAGGATTATGTAAAATTCCTAAAATTAGGAAATTTTTTTAGGAAAAATACATGATGATTATTATAATAAGCATTTTGAAGATTTTTTTTTCTTTTTATTATAAACTAACTATATATATATTTTCCTATTTCTTTTAGGATTATTTTGTAGGAGTCATTCTTAAAGAAAAGAATTCTATAATTTTTTATTATGTAAGAAATACTGTATAATTTAAATTTTGTTGATTGAAGTAAATCACTCATACACATATGCTAAATAAATTATTTTACATTCATTTAAAAGAAGAAAATCTATCCTATTTTTAGAATAAAAGACCGAAACATATTGAATCACTACATGTGATATATTAATGATTAAACTCAAAAATTGGAGATTAATAAATTGGACGAAATTATTCATCAACTAGTGATTTAATCATGTAATTTTTAATCATTAAATAGGTCTCATTTTCCCCCTTCAAATGAATGTGGAATCATGTCTCTAGCATACATGTATATTAATTGCCAATCCGCCACTCAACGATACAAAATTGATTAGTAGATCCGTCGCAAGTTCTTATATGAATGACGTCGATCGGCACATTTCAACTCTGATTTTGTCTTACATAAGTCATGCTTAATGTAACCATACTTTACCAATCAATAATGCAAAACGTGAATATGTCACAAAAAAAAATTTTTTTTCGTTTGCTATAAAATTTAAAGAGTTTACTTTGGAGGAAGTCACCATTCCAGCTCATATTTTAGGTAACTTTACACCAATTATTCGCGAATTTTGCAAATTTTACAAGGTTTTTTTGTACTATTATATAATATATGGTAAATTCTTGCTTAGATTAACAAAATAATGTTTTTAAAAAAAAATAAAATAAAAAAATCTTTTTTTTTTTTTTGGCAATGTTTTAGTTTTACCAGTTTTATAAAATTATACCTTAGTAATGTAACACCTTTTTTTAATGTATTTTTAGGGCATTTATATTACAACAAAACGTTTTCAAACTTGTGCAAACACCATTCAGAAGCAATAGTATTTAATATAAAAATGTCCGACGAGATTAATTATAGATTGCCGATCATTTTGTATCGCTGAGTGGCGAATCGGCAATTAAATTATTTACAATTTTACTAAAAGAATTATATTTGATTCTTAAATTTAAATGAATGGTACATATTAAAGTCTTTCTGGTTTTAATTAAATTTTAGATACAAATATTACAAATTAATATTAATTATAATGTAAAGTTTGAGATATATTTGTTATGTATGATTTTAATTTACCAAGACATTTATATTAAAAAAATTATGTAGATTGCGTTACTACACATGAAAGTTAATCAATAATAAATAGATTTCCATAAAAATAGGTATGATCAAAGTTTAAAATAAAATTAATGTGTTTGCGAAATTTGGGGATATATTAGTATGTAGAATTTTCAATATAATGTCTCTTAATGTCCGACTTAACGATATGTGATAAAATCGAAAATGATTGGCATTTTACACTTTAGTACTGTTAATAAATATCCCTAAATCAAGAACGTCTCCTGAAGTAAATGATAGTTTAATGTTTAAAGAAATTATATTTATAGAAAACTCGGTAGATTGGCTAAGTGCGTAACGTAAGGTGCGTGAAAATTCGCATGATGTTACTCTCCTTAATAAGGCACGGGTAAGATGAAATTTTTTTATTACTCCTTTTATGTATCACGTGATCTGTATAACAACAAATATTAAAAAAAAACTTTTCTACTTGAGTGGTTCCATGCCTACTGAACAAACTTCCTAAACTCGTTTCATTTAGCAAAAGCGTTGAAATCGCACTGTAAAATTAAAAAATAAATGTATTATGACAATTCAAAAAAAAATATCTTTTTTTTTTCTTAATAAAATTATTTGTATTCCATACTTGTTAAATGGCTTTTATTAGTCACCCAAGTCTGCTAGTCCTGCTAATAATGATGTTCCATACTTAAGTTCTTTAAGAATATTTTTTTTAAAAAAAAGAAGAGTTTGTGGGGAAAGAATTTTGTGATCGCGCTACAAAGATTCTGTATGAGTCACGTGACTTGTGTAATAGCGAAAATTTCACTTTACATTACGTACCTTAAAATATGTGGCTTTACGTTAAAGCCGATCATATAGATATTCAGTACGGTACGATTTTGAAAACCTGTACGGTACTGTTCAAAAATTCCAAAAATTCCGTACCGTACCGTACTATATTAGAACAAGTACAGTACAGTTAATTTTTTTTAAATAACTACGGACATTAATGTCCAAATAACCACCATAATTAAATGGACATTGTTGTCCAATTAATCACCATAATAAATGGACATTGGTATCCAAATAACTACCATGGTTAAATGGACATTGGTGTACCATTAGGATATTGATGGTACATTTAGCATATTGATTATTTGGACACCAATGTCCAATGTCCATTTAACTATGATGGTTACAGTATTTGGGCATTAATGTCCGTAGTTATTTGGACATACCGTACTGTACTGTACTGGCTCTAATATTATATAAATAGTACGGTACGGTACGGAATTTTTAGAATTTTTTGGAAATTTGATCAACCGTACCGTACACGTTACTGTGCCACAGGAATTTTAAAAATTATACGCTTAAAAGTTAATAGGAAATTTTTATTTATTTATTCTTTTTTTTTTTATTTTAAAAAAAACTTCGAGATTTTAATTCAACTGGAATTTAGGTTTATCGGGATTTTGTGTTTAATTATCAGGATTTTGGTCGATGTAAATCAATCCATTTTTTAATAAAAATATTTTTTATAGGGTAAAAACATTATTTTCATTGATCACTTATTTTCTACAAAGTCTCAATTAATTAAACTTGTTAAGTTGATATATTATACATAATATTTCACAAGAAAAAAATTTTTGCGATATCTAAAATTGTTAAATGCGCGACATTTGAATGTTAATTGGTTGGATTTTACTAAGATTATAATTTGTATAATTAAAGAAAAAAAAAAAAATTAAAATTTGGGACTACCATTTTTACCTTACAAATATACTGTATATATAAAATGTTTAAATAAAAATACTGGCCGCCGACCTCAAAATTTTAAATCCATGAAACGAGAACCAATTTTTTAACATCGTGTCGCCTGATATTTACGTTCACATTTTAAATTTACGATCGTAGGGGGAAGGAGAAGGAGCGTATTGATAAATTTCGATTGCCCTTCTTCAACCACGGGACTTGTTTTTGCTAAATACAAGTTTATGAAATTTGGCAAAAACCCTGCTGCACCCTCGGGAGTTAAAATTGACTTACAGAAACATTAAGCTTTTTTCCTAAAAAATGTCAAATAGTGACGCGCCTTTAACACTGGAAAAATTGGTTAGATAATGGGAAATTGGTTAGACGCAAGATTTGGGGTACAAAAAATTATTTTTGAAATTTGGTGACTAAAATACTGTCAAATATTTATTTAATTTGGCATGACGGGGTGTTTCATATGTTATGCAATTGATTCATAATATCACAAAAATGGTTTAGAACTTTAGATCATTAGAACAACCTACATCGATTTTCTATATTACTCAACGTTAATATTCAGTTCCTTTCAAGTCGGAAAAAAGAAATTCTGTTATTATAATATTTTAATTTATTATTTACACAAAAATAATTAAGTGCGTAAAATTCCTTTCAGACAAAAAAATTAATAATTGTGTAACGCAGTATAACGTCATTGTTTTTATTTCGAAACCACTTACATTTATATATCAATAGCTTAAAAGTAGGGAGATGGTAAGAAATGACGTCATCAATTTTTGAACCCCCCAGATCATACTCCATTTTAGGAAATATAAAAATTATAATTCTGGTCGGCATTAAGCCTTTCACTAATCCCCGAGAAAGGAAATGTGTAACGTCAGATTTGGGCTGACCCCTTCCCCCTTAGGAAATTACGTCATTTCTGGCCTTCCCTAAATAAACATAATAACTATATAAGTAAGGCAACGAGGTATTGAATTTTATTAGAAAATACTTTAATCAAAACATGAATGTGACAGAAGATCCAGAATATGATAACATTTGTACAAAATGTAATCAGAAAATAATGAACTATCCAAATAAACTTTGTAGAAAGCAATTTCTTCCTCCGCGAATTACTAGTACATATGAAATACAAAATAGTGGAACAAATAATTTTTTTAAATTGTTAAGTGGAAATTTAAAACTGGATGAATTTATTAAAGAGACTCAACTAAATTCAAAATATTGTGATGATTTTATTGAATGGATACCAAGTTCAAATTTAGAAAATATAAAACATTTAGCGAATGGAGGAAGTTCAAAAGTCTATTTTGGAATTTGGAATTTGTCTTCAAATATGTCTTTGGCTCCTGTGATTCCAAAACAAGTAACTTGTAAAGTTGTTTTAAAATCCATTAATGGATCTGATAATATCAGTGATCTTATTTTAAACGAGGTAAAAAAAAAAAATAATAATAATCGTTTCTTTGAAAAATTAATCTTTGTGATTTATTTTTGTGATTTATTAGCTTAAATTTCACCATGAATGCCGTGGTCCAAGAGTTATCCCATTTTATGGAATAACGAAATCACCTCATTCACTCGACGGAAATAAATACGCCATGATAATAAGACATGCAGAGTATGGAGATTTACGAAATTATATTTATAAATTTTTTCCAAAATTAACTTGGATCGACAGAGCAAAGATTCTTCTTGAACTTTCAAAAGCATTAAATTCTCTTCATCAAATGAACTTACTCCATAGAGATTTCCATTGTAAAAATATTTTAGTAGATGAAGGTGATAGAATTTTTGTAAGTGATTTTGGACTTTGTCAACTAATTGGCTCGGAAATAGGTAAATGATTAAAAAAATAACGATTTTTTTTTTACGATATTTTAAATATTACTAATAACCTTTCTATTTACCTTAAAAGATACAAATAACATTCAAGGAGTTTTACCTTATATCGCTCCTGAAGTTTTAAGACATGAACCATATACAAAGCGATCAGAAGTGTATAGTATAAGTATGATAATGTGGGAATTAACATCAAAAAAACCTCCATTTTCAAATTACCCTCATAATATAGAACTTGCATTTGCGGTTCTTGATGGACAGAGACCTGAAGATGTTAAAGGAACACCATATTTTTATGCTAATATTATGAAACAATGTTGGGATTCTGATCCATTAAAAAGGCCTGACGCTTCTTGTTTACCTGAAATATTCGAAAAAATGATAGAACAATTCAAAATGACTGATGATAATGTTTCATCAAATTCTACTTCTTGTTCATTATCATCTCGATCTAATTCCGTAAATAATGATAATATTGAATCAGGTGCCGTATATGAAGCACAAATATTTATGTGTATTACATTTAAGCAAAAATTTATGTTATAATCCTGATTTTTTTTTTAGGATATAAAACCAGAGCATATTCTCTTAGTTTAACATGTAAAACAAATGATGCGGACATAGAAATATCTCCTCTACCTCCTGTAGCAAACTTGAATGAAATTAGTATTCAAGCAGGTATACTATTGTAGTAATTTAAAACGTACTATGAATTAATAAATATTATACAGTATATATTGAATTTTGTCCCTTTTTTAGAGTATGAAACCAAAAAGCATGAGAATATTTCTGGATTTTCAACCAATTTTAATGGTATATAAATATTTTTATTAGAGTATGAAATGAATGAAACAAAGCACTTCGTTAATTAGAAGTTAAGATTGAAAGCTCCAAAATTGTAGAGGGTATTACTAAATCTCACCGCTGGTGATTCTCACCGCACCAGCATTAGCAAATATTAACGGGCAGAATTTCATGCCATTTTTAATTCTGCCCAAAATTCTACCCTAATTCTGGTAAGGTGACAATCACCAGCGGTGATATTTAGCAATACTCAATTATAGATACCAAAATTCCAAAATTTGAATTTTTATGAAGATATTCTTTTTTAAAAATATTGAATTCTGTCAGATATCTTAATTAAGCATAATTATTATTTCATTATTTTAGGTAATAAAGCATCTATTAATCATAAACGACCGTTCTACTATCTTAAAAAAATATTTGGTAAGTTAGACATTAATTGTCCTTTTCTTTCTAAACATCTATTCATTAAATTAATTTTGCATTTTTATATTTCATCTAACTATCAGGAAAACGTAAGTTATATCAATATCCTTAATAAGTTCATTCATCCGGATGACATTAAATTAACCAATAACTTTATAATTTTAATTGATTATTAGGACAAAAACGTAAGTTAAACTTAATATCATTTCTTTCAAACTAGTATTTCGGGCGAAACTAGTTTCACCTAACTGATCTACAAAACATTTCCAAATTTTGTTTCGGAAGTTTCGGCGAAGCTTGTTTCGGATTTGAAAATAGTTTCGCCCGAAACTATATTTCAAACCATCTAGTTGACAAATTTATCATTAACAATACTTTTTTATTTATTTATTTATAGGTATGTTTGTTCATGTAAAACATTTTTATTTTATTTTATTTATTTACAGAATACAGTCGGACCTCTATGTACCGATACTGTTGGTTTGGGGAAAATATATCGGTATATCAAATTATCGTTACAATCCGTTACATATACCGATTATACCGTCATCAGTGAATCATAATGCAGGCCAAAATCCAATTCTTGCCAGCATTATGCAAACTCAATATATTAAAATGTCATGTGATTTGGATGGAACCTTTATGTTAACTTCGGCCAAATTTAATTTATAGTGTTGGCCCGAATTAATACTAGTGTAACCTAAAGTATCAGTACATCTTACTATGTATTAATTATAAAGGGGCAAAGAAAAGTATCGGTACAACGGTACATGTTACAATTGTTACATCGTGAAACTATATATAATATCGGTTTCTTATTAATTGTGAAACGGGACATAGAAAATTTATCGGTACAGGCATACAGGTATATAGGATATCGGTACATAGAGGTCTGATTGTATATATTTATATATTTAATTATAATCAAATATGAAACTTTTGGAATACATATTATTTTACTATCTATTAAATTATTAAATTATAGATGATGGTAAGCCAGTTAATATATAAACATATCATCAAATAATTATAATCATAATATAATTTATTTTAAAATCAAAATAGAAGAAAAACGCAAGCATCCATTATATTTTCTAAAACGAATATTTAAATGTAAGTCAAACTATTAAATTAATTTTCAACATCCTCTTTCCTTTAATATAAGCAATTATCTAGAAAGTTATCAATATAACTTAATACCAATTTTAACATATAAATCTATATAAAAATTTTATTAACTTGAAACATTGTTTTTTTTATAGCTTTTATAGCCAAAAAGTTTAAGCGTGAGTTTTTTGCATTTTAACTTAACTATTTATGATAAATCATCCATTAATGATTCTTAATAACTTTGCTAATTTATTAGGTTCCGGTAAGTTAGATTATTAACTTTTCCATTAAATAAATTACTAAATAATCATTGGAATATATTTTTTGTATATCATGTCAATATTTCAATTGTAGATAATGCTAGTAAGTTTATCTATATTAATTATTTAATAATTAAATCTTATACTAACAGTTATTAAATAAATCACTTTGCTTACTAGTTCCTATTGGTAAAGTCAAATTTAACAATAACATTTTTTTCCTTAAAATAACAAAATTATTAAATGATAACAAAACTAATATTAAATCATTTAACCACTTAATATCTATTATATCTATTTATAAAGTAATGAGTAAGTTTATTTATGTTATAACTTAGTTATATAATGATTAAGTCATTTGCTGCTTATTATTCTTAATAAAAAATTATTAAATAACAACATGTCAAACTAATATATTTTTAAATTTAAAGATGGTAAATTTGCTTACATATTAAATTATACAACAATTAGACCATATCTGCTAATTATTATTGACAACTTTATAATTACTAGAAGTCGGTAAGTTATATCTTTCTTAAAATAGCAACAAATTTTTAAAATAAAACTGAATATTAATATTTACATCATAAATATTTTATATTACAAAGACTTTGGAGAAGGTAAGACTATATATATATATTATAATTTAGTTATGTAATAATTGTATTATTTGCTAACAACTTTTGGAATATAATTTTATATTTACACTTTAAAGTTGGTAAGTTCATTTATATATTTCCCTGTAAAAAATGTTAATCCGTGTTTTATATTTCCATGTTTTTCCCGTGAATGTATCATTTTCACGGAATTTTTACGAAAGCCACGAAGAAATAATGGAAATAATTGGATAAAAATTTTTATAGGGATATTTGTATAATAATTAAATCATTTATTAACCGTTATTAAATAACTTTATTAATTTACATTATTAGGTGAAAGTAAGTCAGATTTATTAACATTATTTTTTTTGGAAAATTATTAAATAATAACAAAATATTTAATATTCGAATATATATATTTTTATTTATATTTTAAAGTTAAATGTAAGTATATTAACATAATAATTAAATCGTTTGCAAAACAATTATTAAATAACATTATTAATTTACATTATTAGGCGAATGTAAGTAAATTGGATTTAATAACATTATTTTTTTGGAAAATTATTAAATAATAACAAAATATTTAATATTTGAATATATATTTATATTTGTATTTTAAAGTGATAAGTAAGTTTATATTTATTTATATTAATAACTTATATAATAATTGAATCATTTGCTAACTGTTATTAAATAACTTTATCAATTTACGTTATCAGACGAAAGTAAGTTATTAAAATTATTTTCTTAATGATAATAGCAAATTATCAAATAATAACAAAGTATTAATCTTTAACATTTGGATATCATATTTCTTATATTTATATTTAAAGCAAGTAAGTCTATTTTATTATAATCCAGTAATGACGGTTACAGCACGACTTCCCGACGGATGATTTCCCGACAGGACATTGGCACGAACACGTGATCAAACGGCCAGCGTTAGGCTGTCGAAAATGTCCTGTCGGGAAAAGGTCCGTGAGTGGTAATTATATATAACTAAATTATTTACTAACAATAATCAAATAATTTTGCTTAATTAATTAGATTATCGTAAGTTTTAGTTTATATCATTTTTTTTAGGATATTAATGACAAATTACTGTTGATAACTATATCAAAACTTTTCATTTTTTATATCTATAATTTAAAGAAAGTGAAGATAGTAAGTTAATTTACATTATCACATTATAAATTAATTATATCATCCGCTAACGATATTTAATAACTTTCGCTTATTGAATAACAAAACAATATTCAAATTTTAAAGTTGGACGTAAGTTTATTTCTATCATTACTTAATTGCATAATAATTATAATAATTAAATCTTTTATTTAATAACTTTATTAATTACTAATTAGGTTATCATGATAGTAAGTTAATAACAAATTATTGACTAATAGCAAAATATTAACCTTATTTTTATTGTTTAATAATTAAATAACTTTACTTATTAGAAATTGGTAAGTTCAAATGACGTCTTTTTCCTTAACTGAAGATAACAACAAATTATTAATGGGATATTTTTTATATTAAATTTAAAGAGGAAATCGAAGATAATTACAGTAAGTTTATTTATTATTAATAATATTACATTAATTATTTTATTAACAAATAATTTGTCAATAATAGATAAAATACAGAAAATTGGTACGAATTTAATAATTAATTTTTTCTTTGAAATAACTTTAAATAATTAATAATTTGTATTATAGAAGCAAAATCTCCAATACAACTAGTTCCTTTTGAAGGTACCTCCAAAGAAGACAACGTAGAAGGTACATATTTAATGTAATTGATTTTTTAATAAATATTTTAAGTATATTGACATCTATCTAAGTATTGTTAGATTCAAGATATAGTACACAAACCTACGAATTTTCTTTAGATGGTAAGTAATTTATGAATTAATATCTTAAATCATTTATTGATCTTTTTTTATTCTTTATTATAGATTTGAACAAAGCTTATAATGAATTAATTAATAATCGTTCAAGAATATTGGATAATTAATCAAATTCTATCAATTATATATAAATTTATGATGAGTTACAATATTTAGCAAATAATATTTATTTATTTATTATTAATTATAATAATTATTTATTGTAAAGAAAATCTATAGTTATAATGGTATTATGATGATTTAGATATGGAAATTTTAAATAGAGGTTGGAACCGACCAAAAAAACCTTAACCGATTAATAATCGACTAATCAGTTACCATAACCGAATAATAATCGGTTAATTAATCGGTTAATTAATCGGTTAATTTGTGATGAGGTTAACCGATTAATTAATCGGTTAATATATAAATTTTGCACCCTATATGGATAATATACATGTATTATTTCAAAAAGTTATATCAAATTTTAATGGGAAACGAGAACTGACTTTAATTCAAGGTTTACTTAAATGGGAAATTAACAATATTAATGATAGTGGAATTGAATTGCAAGTTTTTAGGAATGTTTTTATTCCGCCGCCCATTTGAATATTTTGC